CTAGACTCTCTACTTAGTGTCATTGATCAGCGAGACACATCCGGTCTCTTGGAGAAAATTGTGCACTTGAACAGGCACTATCTCTTCTTCGATTAAAGACATTCTAACACCAAGACATTCTAACACATCTATGACATAAGTCATAGATATGTATGTGGTATACAAATAAGTGAAAAGAAATTTCGCTCAAGTAGTAATCAATAGTTTAGCTGTTGCATATTCTATGCAAATGCAGCCGAAAGCTATGCACAACGAACACTCCAAATTTCAGCTAAAAAAGACATATACCAAAGAAAAGGAACAGAAAAATTTTCATACTCTAGTGAAGACAGACTTTCAAGAAAATAATGATTACAGTGATACGAATAAAACTTTTTGATCGGCGATTGGCAACGCCAGACAACTATTTAGGCTCATCAGGGAAACAGGTGGCAAATGGCAAATGATAAGTGAAACAATCTCGGAAAAAAAAGTGGCACCATAATTAGCTCCCAGAAGAGACGACTGGATCGCTGGAAAGAGCACTATGAGGAGCAGTTTAATTGGCCCACAGCCACTCTTAAACTGGCGAACATCCAACACCTCCCTGAATGGGATATAAACACAGGTCCTCCTTCCTTAACTGAGGGTACTAAAGCTGTCACTAATCTGAAACTAGGCAAAGCAGAGAAACCTGATGAAATGACTCCAGAGGTATTTAAGTACGGTGGAGACAGTTTACTGTCTCCATTAACTGAGTATCTAGGCAGCGTCTGGGAATCAGAAGAAGTCCCATAGGGTTGGTGTAAGTCACTGATTATCCCAATATACAAGAAGGGAGACACGTCTTTCTGTGATAATCACAGAGGGATTAGCTTGACTAATATAGTATCTAAAGTCCTAGGCCCAATAATCATGCGTAGACTAAGTGGTGCTCGGGAGGCACAAACACTAGAGAGCCAGGCAGGCTTTAGACCAGGAAGAGGGTTTATTGATCATGTATTCACCCTCCGACAGATTCTAGAACATAGGAATTCCTACCGGCGTCCAACAGTCATTATATTTCTGACCTAAAGGCAGCATTCGACTCTGTCGATCGGGAAGTTCTCTGGAGATGCTTGTCTGTAAAGGGAATTCCGAGAAAATACATTTCACTGATCAAGGCACTCTACTCATACTCATGCAGCCAAATGAGGGCTTACGGTGAGTTATCCTCTGAACTGGTGACGACTAGTGGTGTCCGTCAAGGATGCCCATTATCCCCTTTTCTATTCAACTTCATCATAGATGTACTAATGGACTTAACCCTAAGTGACTTCAGCGACTCAGGGATTGACTTGCTACCAGGGAATAATCTCGTTGACTTCTAGGTGAGGACGCTGACAAAATACAGAGTCTTCGAAACACCTTGAGCTGCAATCAACGAATGTTTGGCATGCGATTCGCTCCCACCAAATGCAAGATGATGTTACACGATTGGACTACACCGACTCCTAGACAAGAAATATGAAGTGAAGTGGTAGAGCACGTTGACCGCTTCTCTTATTTGGGAAGTAGCATCAGCCTCAACGGGTTGATTTCTGGCGAAATCTCAGCACGGATACAGGGGGCTCGTTTCGCATTTGCCAGTTTACGCCGTCTCCGGCGTAGACGAGATATTCGACTATCGACCAAAGGACGGGTGTACTGCTCACCAGTCCGCTTCGTCCTCCTTTTTGGCTTGCTGTGAAACCTGGCCCTTGAGAGTGGAAGACATGAAAAGATTAGCTGTCTTTGATCACAGGTGCCTACGTTCTATTTCCCGAGTGAAGTGATATAATAAGGTGAGCAACATTGAGGTTAGGCATCGGTCGAGTGCTAGGTAGGTGGGAGGAAAATCAATCGACGAGGCTGTGAAATTACATTGACTGAGATGGTTAGGACATGTTTTACGTATGCCTAGTCATCGCCTTCCTTGACCAACGGGTAATGTTAGCTGACTGGCATAGAGTCAGGCTGGAGAGGAGCTAGCGCAGGTCAAACCAAAACATGGAGGCATCAGTCAGTGAAATCCACAACAGTTAGTTTAAGCCACTTGGGAAGGTGTAGACTGGTTTCCTGGTTGGGGTCCTCGGGACGGTAAGAACCAATGGTTGAAAACAATTTGTGACATGGCTCAAAATCGTTCTCAGTGATAGCTAGCGCAGATGCATCCACTCCTTGTGACTTATGATTTCCAATGAAACTATATTGTTCCTCGTTATCACTACTCCTTTGTCTCACTCCTCTGTTTACTGTCTCTATTATGCATTTCTTTTTACTTTCTTCTGTTGCTTTGTGTGCTACATGGAGTGTGGCGCACATCGGTGCAAAGTTCTGTGTCGAAAACAGACAGACAGATCAAAATTCTCACTGATGTAAACTTTCTTAAACAATTTTATATAAGAACAAGAATGTTTCAATTAAATAAAAGGAGTATGCAAAGTATCTTTTCTTCTTCCACTTCTTCCACAGAGAGTAAAATGCTAAGCTTCAAGCTTTCAAATTTCAGTAACGATGGTTTAGCTTTTTACGGGCCAACCATTCCAGCCTCACACCCAACTTTCCCACTTTTCCGAACTTACTCTACCAACTAGACAAGGTATACTAGCACGTCAGCGGGGGAATCAAACGTCGGATCATCATTAAACAGAGGAACACACTTCTGTAATTAACTGATTTGTACAAACTATCTAATTAAAAACGAATGTTGATGGCCAAGCTGAATAACTTTCTAGAAAAGCGTGTGATAAACTCACTGATTGTAATATTTTCAAATCTTCGGTAGGAGGAAGAGAGGGAAAATCAATTTCCCCTAAGATTTTAGATGCACCTTTTCAATTTCATCAATTCAGCTTGCCTTCCGGTCAATCTATTCACGACATCGCATACTAACTCAGATATAGTACTTGTTTGGGGTGGATTAGATGATGATGGCTCACCAGTCGGTAACTTTGATATTGATTATACTGGATAAAAATTTCTCTTCGTTCACACAGAAATACAAAGTGGTACGAAACACAAGTTGCACTAAAATGTAAATTCCTTATCAAGTTAAGGTTCAATTATCAAATAATGAGCTATATTTATCTTAGGCAGTATTGAATGTTTGTATTCAGAAGGTACTAATTGACAGCCTAAGTATACATGAGGAATTCTAAGTAACTTCTAGCAAATGAAAACTTACACCCATTGCACAAGAGGTGACTTTCAAAGCCAAGTCGCCTAATGGATAACACTAGGGCATTCAAAAGGATGATGATCGTGAGGTTTTACTTCAGTAGAAATACTATTATCCACTTGGGATGCTGATGAGTTCTACAGGGGACGAAATATGCTTCAGGGACTCTAAGACTAACTACCATCAAGTGGATGAAGTTAAGTCTATATATATCATTTGGGATACAGTGAGAGTTATTTTTCAATTCCAACTCATCCATGTCAAAGAGCTGGTAGTGACATACAAGCTCAGCTGAAATTGTTATTATATTATTATCATTTCCTTTGGTTCCTAGAGGAACATAGGGCTTCAGCCACACGTCTGCATTGCGTTCAGTTCTCTGCTAGAGTTTCCACCTGGCTCCAAGTCTGCCCACATGTTTTCATCTCCTCTTCACATCACCTCCCCCAAATCACTTACATTTACGGCCAACTCGCCGCTTCCTTTTCGAATTCCATTCGTGCAAAGGCTTGTCTAGTGATGTCCCTTGATGGTTTCCTCAGAGTATGACCAGTTCATCTCGATTTCTTCCTGCCTATTTGTTGCACAGTCGGTACCTGCTGGGTTGGTTCGCTCATTGCTAGGGATCCTTGTTGCTGATCTTTTCTGGCTGGCCATCTGATCTTGAGTAGTACTGAGAGAAGATAGTTGTTAATGAAGGCCTGTAGTTTATTTGAGATGCTCTTCATGACACGCCAAGTCTCTGATCTATATAGTAGCAATGACTGATTTCACATTCGAGTTGAAAATCCGAATCTTATATTCGTTTTCATGCTGAGTGCTGTTGACCTCCGCACAGACTTGAGAGTAATGAAAGCTTGTCTTGCTTTTCCGATCCTTGCTTTAATATCCTCATCAGTTCCGTCCTCCTGTAGTTGAAACGATGCTTCCCAGATAGCTAGGTAGGTGAAGGAGGCTGTTTCTTTCAGGTTCCTCCCATTTATGCTGATTGTTGTCTGTTGTTGTTGTTGCTGTTGGTGTTGGCCAGAAATCTTCATCACCTCTGTCTTCTCTATGTTCACGTGAAGTCCTATCTTCTCTGGATGCTTTTCCTATCGCCAACTTGTTGCTTTCCACTTGCATATCTTTCAGTTTGTGGGAGATTAGACATATATCATCGGCGAAGTCCAGAACCTTCAAGTTTTTGTATGGGTTCATTTTATGCCTGTTTCCTTGCTTCCCGTTAACTGTCTGTCGCATTATCCAATCTACTCCAATCAGGAAAATCATTGGAGATAGTAGGCAGCCAGCTTGTCTTACTCCTATCTTCACTTCGAAGGATTCCGTAAGTTTCCCATTGTGGATTATTTGGCATGCAGAACTGTCGTACAACTGTTGGATGAGATGTATAATTGTCAACTGAAATAGGATATTAAATTATCTGTAGCACCAGTGGGTGAGATTAATCAACTGATTAGTTTACTTTTCAGTGGTCTGATTTATATCGCTGCATCACTTTGTGACATAAACATCAAAGGTGGACTGATTGAAAAGGATACAACACCAATCATGAAATCTTGGTAAAAAGAAGAAGTCAAACAACATTCAGCACTTAATTATTTCAGAAGATATACAACTGGTGTTCCCGGAATGTCATTTTTTTCATGGATCCAATTCGTTATGTTAAACTACTCTGTCTTTTTTGTTTGTCTTTTCCTTTAGAATGAAGTTTACTTAGCTATGAACTTCGGTTTTCATACGTTACATATCATAAATATTTAACAAATAATAAGAACTGATCATTCATACTTATTCAAAAATAACAACAACAACAAAAACCTACTTTCGTTCATTGTAATCACTTCGGATGGTTTCATCAAAGTTTCCTTCATTCACAAAGGTGTTATTTGGGAATACATCAAAGAAAAAAATAAATAAATAATGAAATTTTGTGTGTGCAAGTGAAATAACAGCACAAATATAAGTAAATGAATAGACGTTCAAATATCCGTACACGTGAGTAAGAAACATTTTCATCTTGACAGTTAGATAAATTGATTCTGGAAGTGTACGTATAATGAAAACTATATAATAAATAGATATTAATCATAAAAATAAGTTTATGCACTCAGGTAATCAAGTGATAGCCTGAAACAATAACTCATTATCTTGAATATTTGTTAATCAGTTGACTATATCTTGAATATTTAAACTAAATAGTATACATTTATATGAACTGTTATCGAGATTTGATCGAATAGTCCTAAAATAATTGGGCACCAAGTGAGAAGTAGACATTTGTAAAAATTATATTAGTCTAGTTTTTTTCATTAAACACTTCAAAACAGAGTGTACTTGTGCATCAGAATTTTAGTGATTACGTTCGACTAAAAGTTCATGGTTATAGATGACTGAATGTGAAAATATACTTGCATATGTGGTATACAATGGTGTGTGTATGCATGTATGAGTAAGCAGTTGTAAAACACTTGTTAGCTTCTCCATAAGAAGACATTAACAATCGGGAATTTACACCAAGTATGATTAATTAGTGATGCATATCCTTTTTTTATTTATTAATCAGGACTTGCCATACATCAATTAACAAGATCACATCTTCACATCTGTTCAAGCTTTAGGGATCCACCCATATATGTAGGGCTTCTGCAGTCAGTCTTTCTTTACACGAACTGAAACCTTTCTATAGAAATTTGTTCCTATTAAAGTCAATCTTGTGTCCCGTTTCTGTCGAATAGAGCGCAATCGCTAATCTGTTATCTAGCTTCTTTGAGTCTGCAGAGGTCCTTAGAACCCCTTTTAGGCAGCTTTTACGCTCTTTTACTCATATATTTACGTCTTGGAAGTTTCTTCCGCATACACGGCGTCACAGTTCCCACAGTTGATCTACTACACATAATTCTGTTGGTTTTTTGCTTCCATTTTATCCTTAACCTTCGCCAGTTTTGAGCGTAAGGCGTTATTTGCATGAAAATACACTTTTATGTCATGATTGTTAAGGTTTCTCTTTATCTCATCCGATTTTATTTTACGGTAAGTAATCAACTCTGTACTAACCCAGTTCTAGGCAACAGGTTTTGATCCATCTTTATCTCCATATGTTAAATATATTTTTATGAAGGCTATGGGATAAATATTTGATTCAAGAGTGTATTGAACCTATTTCAGTTACCTCCTGATCTCTTCCACCTCAGTAACTAGTCGTTTGGCTCTGTTAATCAGATTCTTGACCACAGTTACTTTGGTGACAAAATGGTATGCCTTATGATAGTCTAGGTATCTGTCCGAATTTGTTGGCCTTCTGAAAATGTTTATTTTAAGCTAACCAACTGGTTTTGTTCTTACTCAACATTCCAGGAACGTTAGATTATTCTCGTCGGATTCAACCGCTTTGGAAAACTTGATGATTTCTGACACATAAATAGTATATTCTTAAGGTATAAACCTGATACAGTTGTTAAACCCTCACTCTTTTTCTACTTGCAAATCGCTTAAAGATAACCTAAAAGTACACCATGTGAATATTAACAACTGTTGTCTATCACCAATAGGAGATAAGAATGGTTAATAAATCCGTCGTACTTAGTGAAGATAATAAATAAGATTGGATTGCTAGTAGTATAGTTTCAATGATCTCAATTATTATTACGCATAAATTTGAAGTAAACCCAAAACTTTGATTTTTTGTTAGTCTTATCAAAGCAGACGATCGATCGGCTCCTTTCAAACATCACATTACAAAGTGATATATTTAAATCCAAAGTACATAAATTGTCATAATCGTATCTCATATGAATAAAACTAAGTCGAATTCACTGGTCATTGTTCACAACCAAAAGTAATTTGATAGATGAACGAAACTGATGATGAGCCAGAAAGACTTAGACAAATAACTGTCACAGTTTACGAGAGACGAATATCATTCTATGCTACTTAAGAAAAAGATAGAGTCTAAGTAACTAAGTGAAAAACCCTGAACATCTCTTAAGAGTTCGCACTGAATTCGAGGACAGAAATGCAATAAAATTTCCGGACAGTTTGTATTAGTGAGCAGGATATTACTTCCGCCAAAGTAGTTGGCTGTCTTCTCAGTTCAGCAGCTGATTGCTGGAAGTACAAATTATTCACTATATAATAGCTGGTTGCTAACCCCTACAAAGAACTGACCTTGAATTCCGTAATTATTTCCACCCCTCCTACAACTCAGTACTGGTATTTCTTACTAACTGGCAATCCGTTTCTAACTCCTTAGAACTATCTTAAGCTACAGAGTCAACTATTTTTACCCCTTCTTCACTTCAAAGTTTATAATTCTTATTTACTAGTGTTACCACTAATGGGCAAAATTACGTATTTGTGCAGAGTGGTTAATGAGGAATTAAATGAAAATGAATACACCTCTTTGCCTGATTTTTCTTGTTTCCAACGACCTGAAGCCTTCATTTATTATACAAACGGTTACAACTGTACTGACAGTCTATATTAGTTGCTCAATCGTACTACCTGGGTGGGATGAATGAGCTGAAAGCTCCCAGTCAGTCACTTACACTCTCAAGCATGATTTCATTCTACTTTCGCTTGTTGATGCACCACTTTTCACTGACTTTATCAAACAATTTTCCGGCATTCAGCATAATTTTTGGAGATTTCGGAATATTCTGAGGTTGTTTCAGGGTATTCCTGGTAATCTGGGAAAAAAGGAAGATGCTTTAATACATTTATCTAAATTTTCCGAAGAATTCTAGGATCAGTCTGAACTAGCATCATCACCGTAAACCCACAAATCGTCCCCGAAATGTTCAATTGGGTAATCACACACTTTAGTTTAATGCTGATGATCCATATATATACTAATCGCTATATTGATTAAATTGATATTCCTGCACTGTCGTGCGTACATACGTGCACTAGAAAATAACATCCGAGAATCATAAGCATTATTCTGACAACTTCCATACAAATAGCACCAATCTGAAGACAATTGTTAATTTTTAAATTATCAATTTATATATTGGTACTTAACAAGTGAGTGTGCAATGCAGTCCCAAAAACTTAAGAAAGAATATAATATATATCCGCACTTACTTCTGGTGGTAATGACTCTTGAGGATTTACTTCCATTTTGTTTGGTACAGTATTTACTTGCATACTAGTGGCGCCGTTAGTATTGGTTATATTTTTATGACATTTCGAACACAGTCCATCAAATTGTGAGCTTCCATAAAATCCACAACCGTTAGAACATAGTCTATTTGTGTTGCAGTTGTTTTTTACTTTCATTTAATACTAAAATTCAAAAATTAGCTTCGGAAATTGGTTACAGATAACACCATTCAAATATACTGCACTTACGTACAATATCCAATATCCTGATTACGAGCTAGTATAAACCAGTGATTTCTTTGAGCTCGCTTCTTGATTGTGAGGTAGAGGTTCCAGATCTTCGGTGAGCTTCTGCGTAGTAAGTCCCGCCACTCGACTGCTTTAGCTCTGGTAGACTCCAGGAGGAGTGGTGCGGGGATTGGTCGAGATGTGGTTTGTAGTATGCAGTATGTTAGGACTGTATTGCTGCCGTGAATGGAGTTTGACCTAACTCCCGTTGGTCATTCGGTGTAGTCATAAAAGCAGAATAGTAGTAATAATAATAATAATAAAAATAATGGGTTGTAGTGTAGATAATATAGGTTGAGATAAGTGGAATAATAAAGGTGACCTAAGGAAAAGATAGAGTGAGAGAAGGCAGAATAGGTCGTGGGGATTTAGTTTGTACGCTTATCATTGACAGTGTGGTTTCAAGTTTTATGAGGATAAGCCATTGAGACACAAACCTTGCATTTCTGCATGATTGTCTAGCTTCCGCTTAAAAATCTCCAGAGATGGCGCTGTAGTCACGGCCGCCGGTAAAGCGTTCCAGAGACGGCAAACACGAAGCGAAAAGAAATGTGATCGCACTCGAGTCTTTGGTCTCTGGTGTGCTATCCTTAGCGGGTTACCTCGTGGAAGCCTATAATCACTTAATGGCAGGATGCTTTTATTTGGGTGGGCCTGGTCATTTAGGATTTGGTAGACGGTGATGAGGTCTCCCCTGTGCCTACGGTAACTAAGTGTGAAAAGACCTAATTTCTTTAGTCTTTCCTCATATGATTTGTTGCGGAGGCCGATCACCCATTTTGTCGCTCGTCTCTGGACACTTTCTAGAATGTTAGCATCCCTTTTGAGTAGCGGAGGTGCAATGATATTATGCACCTCAAGGTGTGGCCTCACATATGCCTTATATAACCTTAAGAACAGTTCGGGAGTGAGAGCTCCCAGCTGCCTATGCATAAAGTGTAAGTTGCGTAGGCTTTGGCGACGTCCCTCGAGTAATTTCCACTGGTGTCTAGCTTTTCTGTTAGAATAAGACCTAGATCTCGCTCTGATGGAACACAACTCAAGTTCTGGCCACCAAGGGTGTAATTTACACTCTGTGACCTGCCGGAATGAAGTTGCACTACTTTGCACTTCTTTAGGTTGAAAGGCATTCCGTTAGCCAGAGCCCAGTTTCCCAGAGTTTGCAGGTCAGCCTGCAATCTATCTGAGTCTTCCGATGAGTTTATTGCTCTCCAAATCTTTACGTCGTCAGCGTAAAGAAGCGCAGAGCAGTTTAGTTGGGAGGGCAGGTCGTTGATAAAAATCAAAAACATCAACGGCCCTAGGATAGAACCCTGAGGAACCCCTGATGCCGAGGTGTGCCAGGATGATCGGATGCGGTTGACTTTGGTGCAGAATTCTCTCTCGCCTAAGTAATCTTTCAGCCATGCGAGAAGTGCTCCAGAAACACCCGCCTTGCTTATTTTGTGAAGGAGCAGACCATGGTGAACTGTGTCGAATGCTTTCGCAAAGTCGAGAAAGATCACGTGGGCTGGTACCTTTTTGTCCCAGGATAGTGTCCAATCGTTCCAAGCTAGTAGAAGATTCGTCACGCAGGATCTTCCCCTCCTGAAACCGTGCTGTGCTTCGTGAAGAAGGTTAGTCCCATCGAAGTATTTTCTCATGTGGTCGTCAATGAGACTTTCCAATATCTTCGATATCACTGGAAGTAGAGCAACTGGTCTGTAACTGGTCACATTCTGCCGGTCACCACCCTTGAAGATAGGGGATAGGATTGCTCGTTTCCATTCACATGGAAGTTTCCCTACATCAAGGGAGTGTTGGAACAGATCACTTAGGGGTTGGCAGAGACTTTCTGAACACTGCTTCAGGACAGATGGTCTGATGTCATCACAACCTGAAGACTTTCCCGAAGCCAACCTTCCCAATTTTGCAAGTACCATAGCCGGGGTAATTTGAAATGTACCCAGCAGGTTTTCGCGTGTTGGTTTTGCGATGTAATCTGGATGTTCTGTGGGGGTAATATCCTCGTTACTGTTTAGTTGCCTGTGAAAGGCTAGGCTGAATGTCTCTGCCATTTCAAGACTAGTAAGAGATTTCCCATCAGAACCCACTAGATTGCATGCTCCCTGGTTGGTCGGTTTTCTTTCGGACATAAACCTGTATAGGCTTTTGGGGTTCACGAGAAGCTTATTGGCGAGGTCTCCCTGAAATGTCCTTCTATCGCTCCGGACTCGTATGTTACATCGATTCCTGAGTTCAAGGTACACTTCATGTTCGGGTTGACTCTTCGATCGTCGCCACGCAAACCAGGCTTTTCGCTTCGCCTGCAGAAGGCGTTGTGTCCCCTTTTTAGCCATGATCGTTGCTTCCTAGCTTTTGGTGAGACTAAAGGAACAGTGTCTGAGACCGCCTGGTGAATGATCTCCTTTACCACTCTCCAGTGTTCTTCTACTGTTAGCTCTGTCCATTTTTTAGGCCAGTTTGCTTCAGACAGAAGTCTTCGCATTTTGGTGTAGTTGGCTTTGTTATAACACAGATAGGGCTGTGTATTGTCCCACTGTAAGCGCTCGCGGAGGACTATGTCGAATACTATGACCGCGTGGTCACTACTACCTATGGGAGTCGTGATCTGAACGTTTTCCACTAGTAGCTGGTCACTAGTGAGCACGTAATCCAGTCTAGAAGACTTCCCATCAGGGCCCCATCTAGTATCCATCTTGACATTTTCAGTGAATCCAGCCTTCCTGATGGTATGCAGCAGATTTCGATCAAATCTATCATGGGCTTTTCCCGACACCAAGTTAAGAGATGGGGCATTGAAGTCACCAGCTATGACAATTTGATCATAACCCATGTCTTGAGTTGCTGAGATTGTATTTAGCAGTACCTGGTTGTGGTCTGCTCCACATGAAGGTGATCGATAAATGCTGCCCACTAGATATTTGCAGTACCCAACGGTGAAGTGGCACCATATGGAGTCAGGGAGCTCTGTGAGGGGAGGGTCCATCGCGTGAACACATCTGAGCTGTTTGTCGACGTATATGGCGACTCCACCTCCTTCTTTCAGGTCCCTATCTCGCCTGACTAGGACCATATCATTTATACTGACTTCGCTGTCTGCCACCGTAGGGGTTAGCCAGGTTTCCGTCAGTATTATGATTTTGGAGTTTAGTTGTGATTGTAGGTGTCTAAGTTCAGCTATTTTGCCTCTTAGCCCTCTCACATTACTATACAGGCAACTGGTAGTCAGTCTCACCACTTCCCCGTATTGGGGGGTAGTTGACTTGATATTGGCTATCGGTTGAGGAGTTATCCTACGAACTAGTTGGCCGATTCCCCAGGAACCGGCCTGTTGGCGTTTTTTTCTTCTAGTTCAGTCGGAGCACTCGGATGACACTGGCTATCATCGTCCGTGCTGCACCGCTGTAGTGTGACTAGGGGTTGAGGATTTTTTTAACTACGCTTTGTTCTCTCCTTTGAGTGCGAGGCCGGCTCTCGCAGCAGCGAATGTGTTTGCTGACCTTGTCCTTGGTCTCGTACCATCTATGGAGAGCGGTAGTCAACTGGTCTTGGGAGCTGAACTTGACAGCTAACAGACGTGGCGAGTTAATTGACATAAGATGAGTGGGTCGAGGCAGTCTATAAATAGAGACAGCCCCTGAACTCCCAGGGCCATCTGGGATGCCAACCATCTCCATTGTTGTACATCATGACAATGCTTTTCGCAGGCGTTCCCAGTTACCAGTTCGGGAATGCCATGCACAACCATGGAGGCAGAAGGAATGAGCTCTGGCGACTCCCTCGCCATTTGTCTTTCCTTCCACGGCCTGTCTGGCTTAACGCGTATGTTACAGGCCCTCCCTATAGAAAGGACTTGAGAAGCCAGTAACACTTTTTCAACATCCTCAGTAGAGCCCAATGTTACCCTCAGTGGGGATGATTTGCCTTCAGGTGCAGCAGTGCAGTGCCCTTGTACAATCTGCATATATTTACCGGTTGGATGTCCAAACCCAGTGTGCTGCACAAGATGGACCACTGTTCCTGATCAAATAGGGCCATATCTTTCAGCAGACTACTGCTACAGTCTGGTACGTTAAAGAGGATTACACAATTTGATCTACTAACCGTGGGCTTGGGCTCGGTCCTCGCACATTTGTGATCTCTTTTAAGACCGTTTTGGTTCGTCTGGGTATTTTTTTGTGTCTCAGTGCTGTGGCCAATATTACTGGCAGACGGGAGGGGTCTTTTTCCAACGACGGAGACCCGTGGTTCTCCAGCCTCTGTGTCTGGAGCGGTTATGTCAAGAGTTACAGGTTTAACCAGTGAGGATTTTGGTATTCCCGGTTTACGCGCATTTGTACTAATTTCCAGATTGGTGCTGGTCGAACATTTCATATTTTTCCCCGCTACTTCTGCACCGTCTTTAGTTTTCAAAGGACTACGCGAGGCTACATCAGGACGGCAACTCAGCCATATGTACCAGGACCATTGGCATGGGTTTCTACGCATAAAGTCATAATATGCTTTTGGTACCCCATTGTCGCATCTGCAATGCACCCATCGCTTGCAAAAGTTGCATTCGAAAGCAGAGTCTGCTTGTTCGACAACAGAAGCGCAGACCGTGCAGTCGTCTGCCTTCTTGGGGAGCGTTCTTGTCGTCTTGCGACGTCGTGAACGTTTCTTTTTGGCCTTCCTATTTGTTTCATGGTCTACCATGGGGATGGGTGTTATGCAGTTCTCACTTAGTGCAATTTTCCCACTCGGATCTGTTAACCTAGTCGTGTTAACAGGGGTGGAGCCACATCCACTTGGCTGACTTTGCACAGCCTCACTGTAGGACTGTGGCGACAAAGGTAATTTGTACGAACTGGAAATATCAGCCCTGGTCTTCAAGACCGGTATGCGTG